TGGCCCTTTGCCATTCCACAGGCCAAGAATGCCCCCCGATTCCAGCTCCAGGCCCATATATCCAACTGCCTCCTTGATATCTTTGCTCAGATGCTTCACAAGCTTTTCCTACTTCCCATACCCCAAACTGAACTTGTAATCTCCCCCTAAGGAAACAATTTCTTCCCCAAGTCTTCCCATGTGGCAAATGACACCACCCTCTATGCTTCTCCCAAGTGCCCTCTATCCTTCCCCCAGGTGCCCTCCACCTCCCACGTGGAAGCTCACACCAAGTCCCTAGGCTCCACCCTCCTCTCTCCCTGAAGAGAAGCCCAAGCAACCCCAAACATACTAAGTCAGAATCACCTCCCCTACTCAAAACCCATCCCTCCTTTCCCCTTGCCCTGGAATAAAACCCTCCCTCCTCACCTGGCCTATGAGCACTGCGTGGCCCGGCCCTGCCAACCCACCATCCTCCCAGCAAAACTCAAGTGCGCTGGCCCTCCTGGGGCTCCGCAGGCACACCAAGTTCTTCCCAGCCCCAGGACCGAGGGGTGTGCAGGGCCCTGCACACAGAACACTCTCCCATCACTACCAAAAGAGGGAGGGGAGGATGTCATTCCTCACTTTGTCGGCTCCATCACCTGCTGCAGGTCCCAGCTGGTAAGTCACATCCTCAGTGAGACCTTCCCCCTAAAGCAGGTGGACTAAGTGCCCTCTCCGCATGGCTTGTTTGTTGAAGCGGTTACCCCCAGGTTGCAAGTCCAACAGATGGGCTCCGTATCAGCCACGGATAATCCCAGAGCACCCTCGTCGGGCCTCCCTGACCCTCCACACTCAACAAAAGTCCCACCAAACCATCCTGGTCTCCTTTGTGCCCCTGCGCCCCCTGAGTTCCATCCAGGCAGGAACTGTGTCCACCTCACCCATTCTTATCTTATTGGAGCCGAGCACCTGGCACACAGCAGGTCCTCAACCAAATATCCACCAAATGAGTGAGTCATGAGATCTGAAAAGAATTTAAGGTTTGGAACAAACTCTCTCCCAAGACCAAGTGACATTCAAGAGAAAAAAAAAATAGAAACAAAACAGCTGAAAATGGCATATGCTTAAGATTTAAAATTTTATATTTAAAGAAAGACCAATTTAAAATGGTCTTGTGCTCATTTTATTTTCATATTAAGAAGAGCACAAAACCACTAGGCATGCAAAAAAAAATAGAAGTATTATAGTGTGGCAAATAAAAAAGAGAAGGGTGGGGACCATGAGGCAGGGGGGAAAGAGCCAGGGTAGAGCTCAGAAATAGAAACAGATGTAGAGATAAAGAGAGAGCCAGAGATCAAGGGAGAAACCAGCAGAAGCATCGAGGCAGGGTACGCAACAGGGTGTCATTGTTCTTCTGGGAATGAAAGGGCAACCCTTCAGATTTTGAAAGGGGTTTTCACACCTACTTAGAGGTTGAGAGCAATTGTCTTCTGAAAGTCCCCTTTTTTCTTCATTTTTCAGAGAAGTTTTAAAAAGGAAAAATTGACTTCCTATGCAAAAACCAGGGGTTAGCCCATTTCGTTTTGAAGAGAACATCATCTATTCAGATGATTTAAGAAAAAAAAAAACACTTTGTGTCTTTTGAGAATATGGGTACAAATTTTAAATCATACAATGGGTTACAAATTTACAAGCAAGAAGGGGGTTGGGTGCTTGGGGGCTGCTGAAAGGAGCAGCACGGACTTCAAGGGCAGTATAGTGGCTGTCCTCTGAACGGCACATCCAGCCCATTCCTTTCTCTAGGACTTTCCATGGCTCCAGCCCCCAGTGAATTGGTGAGCAGAGCCTAGCACCACACATGGCTTGACCTCTCTGGCCAAGCTAACTGGATCAGTAGGTGGCGCCTTTCCCACCAAGGGTCAATTAGAATCTCCCCGGGGAATCAGGATTTGGGCCCCCATGAGCTGGTGAGGGGCTAGGATTGGGATAACATATAAAGTGGATAGGCAGGAGATGTGGGCATTTTTCCATCAGGTTTCTCTGTCAGGGGAAACAGAGGAGTCAGGGAAAGCCAGACTGCAGAGAGATGTAGAAAATCAGGAAAGTGGTGCAGCAGGTAGCGCCAGACTCCTGGTCTGAATCTCGGGTCCGCCACTCAATAGCTATGACCTTGAACAAGTTCCTTGGCATCTCCTTGACCTAACTGGGACCTGCTCATAGCGGTCTTCTGAGGATTAAATAAATGAACACATACAGCACAACAGGGTCTGACTCAGGTCTGACACAGCAAATGTTTGCTAGATGTTAACCATTATTATCATCATCTTGCTAAGCTGTAAGCTTCTGAGGGTGAGGATTTCTGGTTGTTTTGTTCATACCATATCCCAGGATCTAGAACCTCTCCTGGTACATAGTAGTGCTGATGAGAGAGTGAAGACACCACAGAGCCCTGAAAGGACAGAAGGCCTGGACAGGGCCTCCTAGCACTTGCCCTTAGCTCCTACCCCGAACTGAGCGATCGGAGTGGGGTCTTATCAAAGCCTAAACCAGATCAGGTTTCTCTCCTGCTTTTCATGTCTCAGGATACAAATCAAATTCTCTCCAATAACTATCCAGGGCCTACATGCTCTGGCCCCTTCCGACTTCTCTTCCCTCCCCCTCTGGCCCTTCCCACTGCAGTCACATTGGCCTCCTTGAGCTTCTCTGACAGCTCCTTCTGCCTCTGGGTATTTGCACATGCTGTTCCCCCAATGCATCCTCAGCCTCAGTCTCTTCCTCAGGGAAATCTTAGCAGATGCTCTTCCCCATCTACACTCTCCTCCATGCACTGTTCCTTCGTGCCACTTGCCACCATTTGTAATTTTATTGTTTGCATGATTATTTAGTCAATGACTCTTTTCCCTAGGCCAGGAGCTCTGTGAAGAAAGAGATTATAACTTCTTTTTTATTCTTCATTGTATTTCAGTATCAAGCATAGTATATGGCAAAAAGTAAGTGTTCAACAAACAAATGTAGAATGAGTACATCTGTTGAATGGGTTGAATGAGCAAAGAAATGAATCTTGGACAGTGACTTCCTGAGCCTAGGTCCTTGAGTTGAATTGCCTAGCCTGGTTTTATGCAATCCCCCAAGAGCCTCCCCACACCAGCAACTTTTCCTAATCTTCTTTGTATGAGCGTCTCTGTTACTCCTGAAGGCTTGGATTCCACCACACAGACTAACACCATCCTGAGCCAGGAGATTCCCATCCCAGAATGGACAACTCCACACAAGCAGAGAGTAGAGTCCAACAGAGTATACTGGTCCTTCTGAGCTAAGAAGGCAGAGTTCAGAGTTCTAGCCTGCAGAAGCAGCTGGAATCTGAGGCATCAGAGGAGAGGAAAGTGTGGGAGAGCCCTCCAAGTCCTTGGCCAAGGACTAGGCTGTCTAAGGAGAGAGAAAGAGAACATGTAGAGTTGGCCAGAGAGAGGCTGTCGGCTAGAGGTTGCACTGGGCTGGCATACTGGAATTCCAGTCTACCAGAGTGGAGTGATCTCTCCATCAAACATCCAAAAAGGCCACATGTCAGGAGTAATGGCATGCCTTAGAGTAGAGACTGCTCTAGACCTGCCCAAACAGGATCCAAATACGGAGCCTTAACTAGATCCACAAAGGAATGGGGTTTTGATGGCAAGTGCAATCAAGTTGAAGGGCATGGGAAATACCTCGGGCTTTTTACAGGTCTACCCTAACAAAGTCTAAAATCAAATCTACACAAGTTCAGAGTGATCAGCCAGCAACTGAACTGCCACTAGAGGAAGATAACAAAATCCAGAGTCTCTACAATGTCCAGTAAATATTATCACCACAATGTCAAAATATAGTTAACGATTACTGCGCAGATGAAGAAAGGAGAAAATGTGACTCATGTTCAAGGGAAAAAAGCAATGACTAGAAACAGATCCCAAGATGGCTATACTGTCAGAAAAAGCAACTGTCATGATTTCTAAGTTTCTAATATTATCATAAAAGTCCTTAACCAGGTATGCACACCCAAAGCACCTGTGGAGATTTTTGGGTATGGGGCTTTGGTTTATTTATTTGTCTGAGCTCTGTTCACGTCAGGTAGCTTCTGATTAAGTACTTTCAGGTTAAGCTCAAAAATCTGCATTTTTAACAACTCCTTTAGAGAGTTCCATTGCACACTGATTCATTCTTATCATAGAATTCCTGCAGAATACTTCCTCTTTAAGGCAAATACCAAAAAAAGGTTAAACTAATGTAAATGTAGTGAAGGTTCCTGTTAATTGAATTGAATGGTGGGTACCAGTTCCTGACCGGCCAGACTATACAATCAAGCAGAATATTTTAATTCTAATCATTTTGGAGAAAAAAAAAGCACAGTTCTCTACTTATTTTGAAAAAAAAAAAATCTGAAGTTGAATCAAAAGCCACAGACATAAAAGAAAATGATTAAGAAAAAACAGGAGGAAATGCTCATGGTATGGTGTAAAAAAAAAAAAAAAAAAACAGAGTACTAACTACTATAACATCAAGTATATAAATGTACATTAATAGACACTGTCATTTTTGTGATTAGAAAAAAGGCAACAAGAACTATATCAAAGAGCTAATAGTTATTTTATGGGTACTTTTAAGTTTTTCTGACTTTTCTGTATTTTGCAAGAGTATATTGACTTTCCTCAATGGACTCTTATCTGAAATTTAAACACAAAATGATGGCTTTGGAAAATTTCTGTTAATACACAAACCTCTGCAAAACACTAGTAGTTTCTTGATAGAAAGAGAATGGAAGAAGTAGCTTGAGCATGAATATCATTTCTATCCATATCCAGCTCAGGAAGACTCTCTTCTCTGGCTTCTGAGTAGCTGAATTAGCTTCTGATACTAATTCAATCTCAAACTTTTCATCCCTCAAAGGAGTAAGAGGCTGAGACACATACCTGCACCTACCAAGCAACCATCAGTGACTTAGCAGAAGTAGATCATGGAGTGGCAAACAAGGGATAGAAAAGGAAGAGAATTCAAGTCCATACCTGAACAACAGGATGGCCACCGGTTGGAGCTTTGACAGCCCCTCGGCTGCCTTCTGTCTCATAATGGGCCCGGTGATGTGGCTTGGGCTGCACCTCAATTCGAAGCTCATAGGAGCCTGACTGGTGGGAGAGTGGCCACTCAAGTGGAGGAAGGGATGCAGTCACTGGGATGCTGAAGGAGGAAACAGAATCAGTTGTGTGTACGAAAAATCAAAACCAGTTAACCTGTACAATAAATGTAAATGGCCCCTTTTCTGAAAATCATGTTCAGCGGGCATGTGGATAAAATGCTGGGTTTTGGGAGATACATGTTTTTCACAGATGATAGGTAGGTCTCTTCATAAGGTACAGATCATTTTCTCTTTCATTTTCATGAAGGCTGTGTGACTGACATCTCAATTTATGAAACTAATTTCCTTTTATGTTAGTTACAGCATGTTTCTAACCGCTATAACTTCTTTTGCTCTGGGAATTTTAAAGAGTACCACCTCCTGCCTCTAAAAACACCTCTATGCCAGATCTTTCTTTTCCTTTTCCAGAGAAGGAAGTGGGAAAAGGAAACTTCAAGTGGAAATGAGGGGCCCCATGTGCGTCACCAATTTGCCATGTAAATTTAGGCAAAAAATTTCACCTCTCTTATCTTCAGTCTCCTACAACTACATATCAAGTGGACTAGGTATCTTCTGAGAGTTGTTTTAGCTCTTATTTCTACATCTTACTCTCAGTTAAAAGTATATTTTAGGGAGAGGCCATTTCTAGTTATAGCCACTTCAGGTCAAATGTCGTACATCTAACCACAAAGAGATGTCTGGTTTTGGTATGGATGAACCAAACCATTCATACCCCTTAAAATTAAATAAAGAGCAAAGGTCAAGAACATGACTAGAGTTACACACCCAGTTCAAACCCCATTTCCACTTCTAACGACCTGTATGACTTTGAGCAAGTGCCTCTACTTCTCTAGGCCTCTGTTTCCTCAACTATGAAATAGGGATACTGAATTCATTTAAAGAATTTAGCACAGTAAGGGCTCAATACATATTAACTATAATTATTTTTCCTGCATATATTATATATTTCAAACAGTTATTTCCTGTAGATGATCTGACTTAATTATGATATTAGTTATACTTGCCTTTACATCTGAAACTGTAAGATCTTAGAGGGCATGCATTAAGTTTCATTTTCTTACAGTCTCTCAACCATATGTAGGTACTTGATACATAGTTAGAATTATGTCATTTAAGAGTTGACTGAGGTCTTGATAATCGATCTACACCATTCCTTCAGAGCTTCAGAAAACAAAGACATTTTCCTCCAATCACAGAGCAAGACACGGTCAAAGCTTTGCTTTATGTCTCTTGATTCTCAGTCTAGTGCTTCATCCACATCTCTATACCACCTCTGAACTCATTAATTTATTTAAAATAGGTCCAAGTAAATATCCCATTTATGGAATGAATCTAGAACAATGTTTGACATTTGATAGGTTCTCAGTGAATATTCAGTGGGTGGGTGAGTGGCTGGCTGGATAAATGAATGAGTGGATGAACAGTTTTATTTCAAAAAGACCTGTATATTCAAAGTAGCTTTGAAGTTTCAAGTACATGGATTTATGTCACTATGTTCTTATTTTTCCCATATGGCAGAAATTATCAACCCAATCAGGTTATTCTTTTCCACTAAGCCCAGAGCTGCTAGAAGCTAACATCATTAACTTGACTTGGTTAAACATTTGCAATGAAACCGATTCCATCTCTTCTCCATCACATCAGTACCAACAGGAGAGTGGAGGGGGGAGCAGCCCCATAAACTCCATCAGTGCTGGAGTCCAACTAATGCACAATCCAACTTAAAATTATATCCTCACTATGCAAGCAAATATACATGTTTTCTTTCCAACCAGACTGCCTCCAGAAGTCCCTGTTACCCTGGAGTCTTAGGGTGTCCAAAGTGCCTCTATTTCTATCTTAGTTACATTATCAAAGTGCCTTCAAGCTTCGTCCTGCAGCCGAAGTGCCATATGTGTTAAATACTCTTCCTTTCACTATGTATGCAAGTTAAATTTTTTAAGTTTGCAAAACAAATATATTTAAAAATCACTTCACCCGTTTTAATATCTTTTGAAGTATCAAAAAATGTAGCAAGAAGGAGATTCAGTGGGCTATCCCTAACTACCAACTTCAAATTTTGTTTGGTTCCAGAGTAAATCTTCCATGACTAAAATATAATCTTAATTAGACCATTGGAGCTATTCTGAAATAGTGCATTTGAATTCTAGCCCTTTGCTCCACACACCATGAGATAAATAACATAAGACTTCTCCAAATGCCCTCTCACCTCAATCTTACAGAAAATTCTTGCAAATATTTCATTGGCTGGCATGAATTGGTACTTGCTCAGGACTAAAATACTCTAACCCATTCAGAACCTTTCAGATCAAGTCACAGAATGGAGAGGGAAGGATTGTAAGAACAATAAACTCTTAGATAAGTGTATCACAATCATATTTTATATACATGTTCCTCCCCAATCATTAAATAAATCACATTCTGGAAATTGATCTGCAGCAGAAAGAACCAGAAGTTAAGAATCTTCTATTCCAGTTTCCAACTCAGTCAATACATAGCTGTGTGATCATGGTCATGTCACTTCACTTCTCTGAGCCCAGATTTCTCAACCTGTACCAGGGATTGGTCTTGGCCAGCATTTCCTATGGCTCTGTGAAACTTCAGTCATAGAACTCATAACTCTGTGGTCAAACGGCCTTTGAAATCACTGCACATTATGTCTACAGTTGACAGTGCCTCCTGGACAAAGGCATCTATTTAACTCTGTTAAACCCAGAAATTCCTTTTTTAAGAAACACTGACTGGCCTACAATGACACCAGTGTTCTCAGAACCTGCTTGGAGGGAAATGCCAGGCTGGAAGCACCCTGTGGCCCGTTTTGGTCTGGTGAGGGAGTGAGTAAGGCCTGGCGGACAGGCCACCCTTGGCCGCTCTCATCCCCACATCAGTCAAAATGTCTCTACCCTTATCTATTTTGATATTTTATTTGAAAATGAGAGGAGTCCATTTGCTAAAAGCAAACAACACTTTGAGAACCTTGGGAAAACATGGGTAATAGCGTAAGGCTTCAGATTCTTCACCTAATAAAACAGTATATCATCCACTTCTAACCTCTGTAAGTCTCATTTTTCTTGCCATTGAAATGAAGATTAAAAATACCAATCATGTTATATACCTGAAACCAATATAATATTGTTTATCAATAATACTTCAATAAGAGATACTACCAACTAGATTAATTTGAGAATTAAATGAAATAATACACAGAAACGCAGCAAGCATTCTTAAATTGGTGATTATTATTGTCACCATTGCTGCTCTAATGACTATTGGGAGCTCAATCTTCTAGCACAAGGCTTATCAATGAGGAAACACTTTCTAAGTGCTTCTCCTATAAGAAAAAGGTCCCCCTATAATAACAGCTGCCCCCTTTTTTGCATTCTTACTTTGAACAAGGTCTATGCCAAGAATCTGATATATACTATCTCACCTAGTCTTTGAAAAACACCATAAGGTAGGTACTTTTATTATCCTCATCTTATAGGGAATGAACCAAGGCCCAGTGAAGTGCTCAATGAGGTTCCTGATAGATTAGTAATGTCTGCCCTGGGCAGGGCATCAGAGAGGTGCTCAGTTAGGAGGAGGGTCCTATATGATTAGTGACATCTGTCATGGGCACAGCAGGATGGCAGCACCAGAGACGCCCATGATCACACAGCTAGTAAGTGGCAGGACTGGGACTAAATCCAGTCCTGAGAGACTCTCAAGCCTACATGCTGCTGTCTTCCAGCACCACTTCAGCTTACAGGTATTTTAAGCTCCTTGAGGATTATGGTTTCCACTTTCCTTTTTTAGAGCCTCCATATCACTGATTGCAATCCTGAGGCACACAGCAGGTGCCAACAAACATCAATACTATGATAAGGTAGTTAATTCCACATATTAAGGCTCGCTTTGTGTTCACTAGAATGTTAACTACATGAGGGCAGAAATTCTTGCTCATTTTTGTTCACCACTGTCTCCCCAGCACCTATAACAGTGCCTGGCACATAGTAGGCATTTGATAAATACTTGTTAAATAAGTGAACAAATCAGCCAGGTGCCTTACAAGCAATCACATGCACCCTCTGACTGCATTCTCAAAACCAGCATTTGGTGAGTTGGGTACGCTTGAACCTACTTTAAAGGTGGGAAAATTGAAGCTCAGAGAATTTAACTTCCGTCTCAAGGTTTCACAGCCCATTAAGTAGAGGGCCAAGATTTAAATCCAGCCCACCCAACTCTAAATCCCATGCTCATGACCAAAAAACCTTCTTTTCAAACCAAACCATGGAATAAGTCGTTTCCAAAGCCGGACTCACCTGCAGATGGGGATGGCAGGCACCAGCTGCTTGGGCCACGATGGCGGCACCAACAAGATGGACTCAGGGGCCGAGTTCCTCCTCTCCTCCTGCTCGCAGGGCCCCAGGAACTCCACGGCCGGGTAGATGTGGCGGGGCAGGCCGGCCTTGGGCGGGGCGGCAGACACCGGCGAGGGGTCGGGGCTGGTCTTCCACATCTTGGGGGGGATCCCGCAAGGCGAGTCTGCGGCGAGGCTGTTCAGGGCATCCATGAGGACGGCAGAGCCAGCCGTGGGGGGGTACACAGCGGGGGTGCCGTCGTCCCGGGGCTGCGGCGAGGGGCTCCGGGAGCGCTGGGGTGAGGCTCCGGGCAGCGGGGCAACCAAGGGCCCTGCACACGAATGCCTCCGCTTGGCACCAGGCGACGAGGAGCGCGAGGCCGGACGGGGCACGGGCGAGTGGCGGCCCAGGCAGCTGTCCTCAGCGAGGCTGGTTCGAGGTGACATTATTGGCGAGGTTCTGGGGGAATAATGAGCAGGGATGTTTTGAAACTGGGGACACAGGTCGTCGGGCCCGCCGTTATTGGGCGAGACGCAGGGCGAGGTGCAGGGGGAGAAGGTGTCGGAAATGAAGCTGGCAGAGGAGCCGCTGCTAGCGGGGCTCAAGCAAAGTGGCTCGCGGTAGCCCTCGAAGCCGGGCACGGGCAGGGTGAACCTCGGGCTGGCAGCCACCCCCGGCAGGGGCGGCCGCTCCCCCAGGAGGCCGGTGTCTCTCATGCGGAGGGGCCCCCCTGCCTGCATCAGTTCGTGGGATGGAGTGATCTCGATCCGAGGGCTCAGGCCCGAGGCCCCCGCTGGCTTGGCCGGGCTCAGAAAGTTCTGGGGCCCTACCCTATCCGGCTCTCCAAACCGGCCGGGGGGTTCGCCAGAGAGACTGGGGAGGGGGCTGTATGGCTTGAGGCCATAGTCCAGGACATCATCGGGGTATGCAAGTCCGGAGGGTGGGCTGGCGACCTTATGTGCATTCGGTTCTTCTGGAAAGAGAAGGGGGGAGGGAGGGGTCTTTTTAAGCCTGTAAAACAGAACTCCCCATGCCAAGCAGTCACAGGTTGGGCTGTCTCCTACTGTCTACTTTTTAAATCCCCACCAGCCAAACCCCAAGCTGCAACCTTCTTCCCTCACCAGGAGGAAAGTGAGGCCACTTCATCCCAGATTCCTTGGAGACAGAGAGATCAGAGCAGAAAGATTTCAGTGCAGGTGCTCAGAGCACAGCTCGCCCAGGGCATGCAGCATGAGCCAGAGGCCCGGCCATGAGCTGGGCTTACGACTTCCAAACCTGGGTTTCGAAGGTACCCTTATGAGAATATTTGCTTGCAACTGAAACAAAAGCTTCACTAAACAATTCTTGCCCTGCCACATCTGAGGCACTCTTATCCTTCCTTCTCTCTGGGATTATTTTGTTTAAATGCTGGTCACAACTCACTGAACAGATGTCCTATCCCACCGGTGGGTGGTGACCCACAGTTTGAACACTGATCTGCCCATCTCCTCATTCTCCGTGACGACACAGCTACAGGGTGCAGAGGGAGGCTGCAGCAGCCTCGGGCCGTGGCGCTCTGGGCTCCACTCCCAGATGTCCGTGCCCAAGAATGAAAAGTGGCTTGATTTAGAACCAGGACTCCTGAGTCATGTCTCATCTTGTGCCATTTTACAGATGAGGAAACTGAGACCAAAGGAAGGGAAGAGATTTACTGCAAGAATTCACAGAAAATTAGCAGATTTGAAACCTTGCAGCAGAGCCACTTGGCCCCCAAAAGGCAGAGCAATGCCTACATAGAGACCCCCCAAACTATTAAAAACAGTGGGTATAAAGTGACCTAATTTTTCTGTAACGGTGCTCATCTAGCTCAGGCTTCTGCTGCCACCCCAAAGGGCCAACAGTTGGAGAGTGATGTTTGTGGGGGAACTAGCTATTCCTTCCGCCCTCTTTACTCCTCCCCTACGCTCCCAGTTCAGCAGAGGCCCCTCCACCCTGTCGTTGCTCGGGTTAGCTTGACTCCCTTGCTCACACTCCAGTCTATCAGCAAACCCCCACCACTCTACTCTCAAACTATAAAGCAAATTCACGCATCTCCGCTCCCCACTCTGACCCGCCTGTCCGATCCGCCATCCTCTCCCGGCTGGTGCAGCTGCCTGCAGCCAGGTCTCCTCCTGTGGGCTGTTCGCCACACAGAAGTCTTTTCACATGTCCATTTGTGAAACTCACTGTAAAGATGTCCCCAAATGGATCTAAAGTCCTTAACACAGTTGTCCTCTAGCCCCAGGCTGTCTCCCACTCCCACCTCTCTCCACCTTTTCCCAAAGGGAATCAGCAGCAGCCGGGCTGACACCTCTGCTGTTCTTCAGGCAGCTGCTGCCTCGGAGGTCTGGAGTGCTGTTTGCTCTGCCTGGACTCTTCTCCCGGCCCCCTGCCCTCCCCCAGATCACACAGCTGCTTCCCTTAATTTCATCAGGTGTCTGCTCGGTCAACACCAACTTTGGTTGGCCTATCAAAAAGATCATCACCGTCCCCATCCCAGGGTCCTCCCTCCCACCTTCTCCCCGCCATCTTTTCTCCATTGACACCTGTTACCAGCTCGCATCACATCAGATATTATCTGTTTAGGGAATCTTGTCCTGATAGATGACGGGCAGACAAACTATAGCCCATGGACCAAATCTGGCCCACAGGTTATATTTGTAAATAAAGTTTTATTGGAACGCAGCCACTCCTGTTTGTTTACATATTGTCTAGGGCTTGCTTTTACACTACAGCAGCAGAGTTGGTAGTTGTGACAGAGGCTATAAGGCCCCCAAAGCCTGAAATATTTATTATCTGGCCCTTCATAAAGAATTTTGCAGTCCATGCACTAGACTCTAAACTCCGACCAGGGTTGGAACGATATCTATCACAGTTCAGCATTATTTGCCAAGCTCCTAGCACAGCCTGCCTATCAACATTTGCTGAGTGACTGAGCAAATAAGTAAATGGGAGAATTATGTCCCAGGGCCTGCCAGCCAGAAATGGGACCTTTTCCTAAAGTTGTGTTCTGGACCTGCCTCAGGGATTTGAGATGGCTATGCAGGCGACCCTCAACCTTCTTGGTGCCCTTCCTGGGCCATCCTGGAGTAAGTAATGTCTGGTTAGCCGAGCTGATATCCAACAGTCCAGATGGTGCTCATACCTGATGTGAGAGCCCAGAAATGGCTTCCCACAGTTTTTAGGGTAAAGACAGACGATCTGAACTAGGCCAGCCTGGCCTGGCCTTGCCTGCCTCTCCAGCCTGGCTTCTATTCTCTTACCTTTCTCCAGGGACTCCAGCCAAACTTTCTTCCTGTTCTTAGAAAGCACCAAGCTCCTTTCTGCCTCAGGACCTTTGCCCTTGTTCCTACTACCTCAACAGCTCCTCCCCAACCCAAACCAGGCCCCTTCTCTACTTACCTAAAGCCATTCATTTCTTCCAGCTAAAGCATCATGTGTTTGGAAAGGCCCCCTGACCACCTCAACTAGGTCAGACCCCATTCACACTTTCCTGGTCTGTCCCATGTGCTTCTCCAAATTCCAGTAAGCAATTCTGCAGATATTGATTCCCTCCCTCTCTCCTACCCCACCAATCAGTACATTCCGTGAGGACTCTCTCCCTCCCCACTGTATTCCTGGCACCTGCCACAAAGCAGACCCTCAAAAAGAATATTTGTTGATGGGCTTAATGAATAAATAAAGTGAGTTCAGAAAAGTCTATGCGAAATATTTAAACTATTACTCAAAGATACTAACATCCAAACCAAAAGGTAGAAAGATATGACATCAAGAGGGGACAATTTGGTAATAACTATCAACATTCCAACACAGAGATCCTTGGAACTGAACGATATTGCTTTTATTTATTTATTTATTTCAAACAATATTGCTTTTAAAAATTTACCCTGCAGATATATTCTCACATGTGCAAAATGAAGTAAGCATAAGATTAATTAAACTGCCCTGTTTGTAACCCCCAAAGACTAGAAGCAACGTAATGTCCATCCATTGGGAGTAGGTTAAATTCTGATTCATTCACACAATGGGATACCCTACTTCTATAAAAAGGGTTGAGAAAGTTATTTCTGCGTTGATCTGAATGACCACAAGATACAGTGTTACAGAAGAAGAGCCAGCTGCATGTAACATACACAATATTAAAACAGGGGGAAAGAATGTGTGTGTACAATGTGTGTGTACAGATACACATACACACACAGCAGCCACTGCATGCATAGCTTTCTCGGGAAGTTACAGGTAACAGAGACTTCCTCCAGGGAGGGGAGCTAAGTAATTGGGGGGCAGTGGGAGGACAGAAAGGCGACTCTAATTTCTGTATTATGTTGCGAAAAGAAGCATCATTCCCCAAGGAAACATCTTTTCAATTTAAAGGTGGTGATGGGGGTGACATGATATACAGTAATGCTACCATGGTTTAGGAAGCAGGAAATTGAGATCTAGTCCTACTCTGCCCCTAATTAGTTGTGTGGAGTTCGAAGAGCCTCCTACCCACTCTAGGTCCCAACCTTCTCATATGTAACAGGGCTATATTAAACCGCATCAGTCTCCTTGGCTGCTTCTGGCTGCGAAATCTTGATTTTTCCAGCTAGCGTCTGTAGGGTCTAGAGTTCTGCGAAGCTGCAGTTCAACTAAACCTCGTTTGTGCCTGAGAACACACACACACATGCACAAGCCTTCCTGGCTAGTAACAGAGGGTAGATTTTTAATCTAGGAAGAGATCAACGTCAAATCCGTATCTGACATTCTGATAATCCACTGCCCTGTGAACCTGCTAAACAAACTACAAAAAGTCTCTTAGCAAAAATTCCAGCCTTATCAGAGAAACTGTGTTACATCTTATCAGAAACATCCCCTCAGGACTGATGTGAACAGTCACAGAAACTGGGCCATGAAAACACACACCCCTCACACTCTGGCAGCATTTTAAAAACAGAGAGGCCGGTTTTGCGGAGCAAAAACATTTAAAGCATCTGCATTGGTTTTAATTAATCCAAGCAGCCAGTTTTTCTTTTTCTTTCCTTTTACCTCCCCAAAGATTCTCAACAAGATTTAACAGCAAGCGGGAAACATGAATATAATTTATAATCATTTAATTCTCAGTCCTCCAGGTATTTGACAGTAAATTTCACAAATAGCTCATCATTAAAACACTTCTGTGAGTAGCTGGGATTCCTCACTATTTTTCCTTACACAACTGCCACCCTGCACAGAGCTCTCAGAGTCACAGTCATGCGTGCACAGCACTGGGGGAGGTCAGGGTCATCTCAGAACCACCAAATTTTCTCATAAGGGTTTCCAAAAATCTTGCTTTCCTTACTATTTGCATGATCTGTCCTCTGTGCATGTACCACCAGTAAGTATTTACTTAATATTTCTACTTAAATTCATTCGCATATTACTCTTTTTTTTTTTGAAAGGGAAACTTCACACCACTACTACAAATGGAAAATCAGTGTCACCTCCATAAATAGAAGGTAGGGTAAAAGTACAATAAAAATAAAACTTACTAAATTCAAGTGAGACGCCGTGGCTGGCCAAAGGCGCTAGCTTGAGGCCCACTCCATGCTCTTTTTTATGGAGGTACAACTTAGATGTACAGATTTTCAGCATAGAGTTTGATGAGTTTTGCCAAATGTTCTGAACCCTTGTAACCACAACCACAATCAAGATGTAGAAACATTTCCAGGGCCCCAGAAAGTCTCCCTTTCTTAAGGCTGGAGGTGGGGAAGGGAATGGCAAGTGTTAGAAAGGCGTTAAAGACACAGTAGCACCTAACTGAGACTCCACTCCTTCTGACTAGTTCACTGCGAAGCAGCACTGAGGGGATGGCCCCCATCATATGCAACATACGGGTAAACCACATAAAGTGTCTCACCTGCCATGGGAGGTAGAGGTACCTGGCCCACACTCAAGGCATCAGTACTCAGGGACAGGAAGGACGTGTAAGCAGTA